GTTCTCCTTGATTGTTCTAATTTGGAGGGAGATGGGGCCTGCGAGGGATAAGGTTTCGTAGGAGCGATTGGTGTGGTACCCAGGTCACATTCTTAGGAACTCTGTCTTTGATTGGATGGTGGTACTTGATAGGTTGCCTACCAAAAATAGGCTCATTGAGTTTGGTTTGAACGTGGATGACCTGTGTATTTTTACGGAAATGATCTGGAAACGTGGGATCATTTGTTCTTCTAATGCTAGTTCTCAAAGCGGGTTTCGGAAGATGCCTTAAGATTATGTTGGTTGAAAGATTATGTTGGTTGAACATGGACGTTATGTGTTGGAGTTCGGAATTAGCTTGGGTTTGTTGCATTCATGTTGAAGAGAAGATCCCTTTTGTCCATGTGCTGAAGCTGGCCTGGAATGAATCCATCTCTCTGATTTGGAGGGAAAGGAATCGCTGAATTCTTTTAAGGTTTGGAATGTTCTGCTACTGATCTTGTTGTTCCGATTAAAGAAGTTGTCAGAATTAGATCGAGTATTAGGCCGACTGTTAGAGTATGCCCAAAGAACAATCATATGATGATTGTAATAATACTATTATTTACCGATTTTATTGAATAAAGGCATTGCCGTTATTATTTTCAGTTATATATATATGTTTAACATAAACTGGAAGATAATAAAGTCTATATAATGATATAATTGTTATTATTAAAAGATCCCTAGTCAAGTATTATTATGGGCATGGACAATAATAATACGCTTAAGACTAACATGTTATTGATTGATGACAACGAGTTGTCATTGACATAGAGATGTCAGAATTGATACATGATTATATTGTTAGAGAACAATGTATTGGATTGACCCACCATGAGCATATGTCTTGGATTATTATGTGACAGTCATAACATTGCTCATGGTGATGACTATATGTATGATCCTCAGACTTGAGATCAATACTATCCCAACATATATTGTTGTATGTTTTGATGCAGCTAAACAAGCTCCATAACTGGTTGCTCTATAAAGACTGTTATTGAATATATCTCAATATATGTAGTGGGTGTGTATGATTAAGATATGATATGTCCTTCCTACATAATAGGAAATATATCACAGGCCACTTGATTGAGTAAGACTAGAAACGCATGGCCATGCTCGAATAAGTTGATATGAGATATCATAAACTATTCGTTAATTAAAGTCTACTCTAGAAATCAAGAAACAATAGGTGGGCTATACAAGTGTAACTATTCCAAGACTTGTGCCTATTCTAGATATAAAAGACATAAGGATATAAAACATAAAAGAGTTAATCACCAAGATGATATGTCGAATCATATTTTCTTGTAACTTAGGTGACAATGATATATTGCTAGATGTCACTCATTGTATGTAATATTAGAATTGTTCTAATAATTACTTCTAATGTTACAAGAACCTACACGGTCACACCCTAAGATTGAAACGAGCAAAGATGTACAATTTGTTGTATGTTACTAAAATATATCTAGAGTTAATTAAGTATATATTTTAATAATCCCGAATATTTAATTTCAATTAATTAAATATAGATTTAATTAATTTGAAATAATAAAATCCCTGATATGATTAGGGTAACTTGGATATAAAAGGATTATTAAATTTCAATTAATTAAATATAGATTTAATTAATTTGAAATAATAAAAACCCTAATATGACTAGGGTAACTTGGTTATAAAAGGGTGTGTTAGGTCTAGCAGCCGTTTTGTAAGAACACACACAAAACTTTCACCCACTTTCTCTCAAAATTGTTTTGAGGAAAACAAAATTGCTCTCAATCGGGTGAACTGAGTAGAGGCCGAGACGTGATTTTGTGGAGGCTTACGATTCGAACCGATCTACACCACCAGAATTCACTGCTTTCCTTGTTGTTTTTCAAGGAACCCGCTGTAAGTATTCGCATCTTTTCTTCCCGATTTCAGTTTTTCCTTGAATTCATGTTGAAGAGAAGATCCCTTTTGTCCATGTGCTGAAGCTGGCCTGGAATGAATCCATCTCTCTGATTTGGAGGGACAGGAATCGCTGAATTCTTTTAAGGTTTGGAATGTTCTGCTACTGATCTTGTTGTTCCGATTAAAGAAGTTGTCAGAATTAGATCGAGTATTAGGCCGACCACTAGGAGGGGTATTGTAAATAGGGATATCTGTCTACATTGGAATATGGAAAATGTGTCCGCTAGGTAGCTCATTTGGGCTGATTACTTTGCAGGTGGTTTTGGTTTATTCTTTGATTGCAATACAAATTTACAACCATCGAAAATAATGCCAAAACAGCAACAATCAGACCGAGGCTCGTGATTTTGGAACTGCCATTGCCTGTCGCAACCGCGTTTACGTCCTTGGGGGAGGATGCTCGGGGGATTCCTATTGTCCCGATGAAATAATTAATGATACACACTTTCATAATTGTGTTTTCTACTTTGATTGTGCGCGCCCTGACCGTGGATGGAAGCAAGCTTCTCATGTTGTTCCCGCAGAAATCTCCTGCGGCTGTTGCGACACGATGAAAGATTTACGTCTTCGGATCAACTGTATGTACTGGAGGTCATTTTGCTGAGGTTTTCGATACAGATCGAAACTGTTGGGATAAATTTCCGGCCCCTTCTGATTTGGATCCTCTATCCGTATCTTATCCTGTCCTCCTTGATTCTCCCCAAAATCGAGTTATGAAATTTAGAGCATACTTCAGCCACAAAGATTTATAACATTTTATCTAATTAGATGATAATAGCAGAAACTAGTACTACTATAAAACAACTGAAAGTTGGTTTGAACAAATCACTGGACCCATAACCATTTCTGCTGAGAGAAAATCTAAAAAGAGTGCACCATAATTCCATCACACACTATGATAGCTTTGACACAAAAGGCTAATTTCACCAATCATTCTCCAGCTGAAAATAACTGAACTGCAACTCAAATACACGAAAAAGAAAGAGGTTGATTATAATTAAGATTCGAGGTAAAGAAACAACAAAAGAGAGAATGAGGTAGAGAGATTACCTGTTGCCTTGCACCATCCTTTCTTTTCTGAACTAGAACCACCACCCTATGAACTCTATCTTCAACTCCGAAGGCGACTTTAATGCTTTCATTACAGCATCTTCCTTTATATCTCCATCCAAATTTATTCTAACATTGTTGAGACTCTTTGTTCGAAAGGTTGGCTCGAATAGCTTCATCTGCATTGATCACATTTCCTACCAGTTTCACACGAACATCTCCACAAAGGTGGTTCAACTCTTCGAAATCTCCGAGACTGAATTCCTTTGCATCATTCTGATCAACTCTAACAATGACATTGGTTAATTCCCTAAGAGAATTTAAACAGCCAATCCCTTTTGGATAGAAAGTTATACTAGAGCAATACCAGGTACAAAGATACCTCAATCTCATCAATTTCCCGACTCCGTCCAGTAACTTCGTAAGACTACTACATCCAGTTAGATCCAAAGATTGCAAATCATATAAGTCGCACAATGTTTCTGGTAGTATCTTCAATTCTTTGCTGCCAGCTAAGCTAAGGAACTTCAGATTTATTAATTCATAAATTTCCTAAGGAAATTTACGAAGTACATTACCTTGTCCACATGGTCCAAAACAATTATGCCATCCGCTAGACAACCTCAAATCCAATAACCTGAGATGTTTGGACTGTTTCATAAGTTAGATAATGCTCTACTGGTTATCAAACACCCTTGACTAACAGCAACAAGAGTCCGCAATTTCTCTGCACCGCTAATGTCCACAGGGAAACCAACTCCCTGGGCTATCATCACCATCAAATGACGAATGCTAATAAGAGGAAAATCTGACGACAGAGGAGGACAAGATGAATCTAGAATCAATGGCGGATCACAAGATGAAGCTGGAATTGAAGTTTCAGAATCAGAAAGAGTTTTCATCTGCTTTGGAGCTGGAGCTGGAATCACACGTTTTATAGATTTGACCTCCTTAGACGCCCTAGATGAAGTTAAGTCCAACATCCACTACAACAAAATTGTTCTACAGCGGCGTTGTTATCGGCGTTTTAGGAGTAAACGCCACTAATTTTAAACATATAGCGGCGTTTACATAGCAAACGCCACAAATGGTAACTTTAGCAACGTTTTTATAAAAACGCCGCAATAGGTTCATCGATAGTGGTGTTTTTTCAACAAACGCCGCAAAAGAGTAGTACTTTAGTAGCGTTTTTATACAAACGCCGCTAAAGACTCGTAATTAGTGGCATTTTTATACAAACGCCGCTATAGAATTGTACTTTAATGGCGTTTTTATACAAACGCCGTTATACACATGTACTATAGTGGCGTTTTTATACAAACGCCGCTAAAGACTCATACTTTAGTGGCGTTTTTATACAAATTCCGCTAAAGACGCGTACTTTAGTGGCATTTTTATTCAAACGCCGTTATACACTTGTACTATAGTGGCGTTTGTGTTTACAAACGCCGCAAGTTTACAAATTTTAAGTGTCGCGCCCTTTAACCTTTTTTTAAAACCTTTGAGAGCTCCACCCAGCAATCTGTGGGTGGTGGTTTTGGTGGTGTTGTGCAAGCAGTATATGGGGGCTTGCCACTTGGAATCATCAAGAACTGCTCCCGCCTCAAATGTCATCACATGCGCCTCCCTCCCTACACTTTCAATTTTCACCTTCATTCATCAGATTAAAATTGAACTGAATCGAAATCAGTTAGACTCGCCTGTGTAGAAGATCCAGAGAACGGGTCTCTTAGTGACCACATCCTCAAAATACGTGATGAAATCCGCTTTCTCCCACACATTGCAAACGAACCCGTCCACTTCTCGCTAACCCAAGTACGTAGCTCCGTCGAGCCAGTCGGGGCGTAAAATCCCGACCTCGAGCTGAACGCTACTGCAGGTTTTGGAGGAATCGAGGGTGTAAAAGAAGGAAGTCCCGTTGTTCCACTCGAGATCGTGGAGGACATTCCCCAGCTGGTGCTGGATGATGTTGAAGTTTCTTCCGTTGGGCCAATCGTACCAGAGGTTGATCACTTCGTGAATAACACTGTTGTTCATGACCAGAATGGAGTGGAATTGGGGCGGCCATGGAGTCGGGGGGGGGGGTCAGGTCGTCTTGTTCGGGTTTGGACTTGCACAAGTCAAACGAAGTGATAGAGACATACTACATGAGTTTACTCAGGTTTAATCCGTTGATTCTGTTTACTACACTTGTTTACTTAGGATTATGCTTACCATAACTAATTTTGGCTAAATTTGTTGTCGTTTGCCTATGATTGGAAAGTTAAGAAATCACGTATTTGTTACTAGGTGATGGTGCCGTGAACTGTGAAATTGAGATGCTTTCTTACATTTTAGCCGAGTGAATAAAATTGTCGTTGAAAATTTTATGATGTCTACATAATTGGGGTTTATTGAAGTAATGATTACTTTGAAATCCAAGGTCCACAAATTTAACATTAAAGCAATTGATATTTCAATTTCTTTAATTCTGTACAAGTAGTGCATTTGCAAGCTCAATTCCTGAAATTCTATTCAAAATTAGATTTATCACAGGTAAAGTGCCTACAATTTAGGTTCAAGTTTGGACGCATAATTGTCAAGTGATCCATCTAACTAAAGGGTCTTAATCTTCATGTAGAACTAATTAATATGGAACTGTTCCTTAAGATCATTTTATAAAGTGTATTCATGTTGAACTCTCTCTTGCTTACTCATCATTCAATTGTGACTGGAGTTGTACATCATAATTCTCTGAGTTTGGAGTTTTATAAAGTTTTGAAACCATGAAGCTATTTTTGACTTCCTGTAATATCTGGCTTTGAAAACTTAACAGCAATGTAAAAGTTATACTCTACAATAGAGATTGATCTTTCTTTTATGAGGTCAAAGAATGATTCTAGCAGCTGGCTTCAGTCTAGTCGCTACTCAGTGAATATCTGCGAAATAATAGCACAACCTAAACACCTGTGGCATTTAACAGTAAAGCTAAAGAGTTTATTAGACTGTTCTTTGCATATATAAATTATACTCTGATTGTTTCATACGCCCAACTTTGTCTATTTGTGTTGTTAAAGTAAATTTCTTCTAATTTGGGCTTTAGACACCATGTGTCCATTTTCCTTGAAATTATCAAACTAATTCTGTTTATTTATTTATTTCCTTAATTTTATATGTTATTCTTCCCTTCTCTTTTTAGTTTATGTGAGGTTTTACTTAATGGAAAACCTATTGTAGTTACTCACGAGGTTTTAATGTTTAATCTGCAAATTATGCCTGTTGTATTGTTTAGTTGTTTAATTTGCTTGTTTGTCGTATGTTCTTAGGAATATGCGGTACAATTATGCATATTTTGAAGCAAAATTCTCAAACTCTTAGCCAAATCACATCCAATCTTTCTGCATACAAGGTATCATTCCCTGGTTCATAACCTTTCTTTGATCATCATATGCAACCATGCAGTAATTGATAGGTGTTATTGTGATGAATTCTATGCCTTCTTGTTTATGCTACTTTTTAATGTTTAGTCTGCAAGTTAGGTAAGTGTTTGCAGTAAAGTTCAGGAGGTTAACTTAGGTGATAATGATTCCTTTATTAATTGATTAGTGTTGATGGATTTAGAGTGAGACTATGAGAATCATCACTGATGAAATTATTAAAGATCAAAAAAATTTGGATCTAGCATTGTTGTCCAAAACTTTTAGCTTCATTTGCAAACTGATATAAGGTGGCATATAAATGTACTTCTGCATTCGTGCTCTTCATTGTGTATTGTTGTAAGTGGAACTCATCTTTCAAAGGAAGTGTTATGGATTCTATTTATTCTTCTTTTGCAAAGTGCTCTTCGAATCTTGTATGTGATTGCCTTATCATGTATGATTCTTGTTAACACTTACAGTATTCCGAGGTTGGCTTATTGATTAAAGCTTTTATAAACAGTTACATGATAACATCGATCTCTTTTGTCACGCAAGGAACAATATTACCGCCATGCTAAACAAGTACGTTGATTTTCTTTTTAATTGTTTTTTATAGAAATGGGAGACCTCATTAAAAAAACCCTTCATACTCAACGAAATGTGAAAGTTTTATAAAGTACATCATGATTCTATTTTAGTTTTCATGGTTCCTGACTTCCTGTTTTTGTTGTTTGTTGCAACATCTTTTTTCAGTTCTCAATCACTCACATGTATGTTATGAATGCAAGTTCTGCTGGTTGTTTCCTTCTCTTCTTAGTCTCATCTAAATTATTGTAATTGCAGTAATCTTGAAGAACAAACTTCAACAAAAAGCAGCTTCTTCAATAGACTGGCACAACGTTTCCCATTTGTTTTTAATCTATTGAGGAGAGATCATTCACTGTCAAATGATACTTTTAAATAAGATGTCAAGACGATGAATATGACAAATTCCAATGAAGTGGGAAACAAAGTAGCTTTAGAAGGCATATCTGGAGGTTATGATGATGATGCTAGTGAAATTGAGGATGTATCGAACAATAAATCCATGTATATCTACACTTTGAGGTTCAGTTATAACTCATTTGTACTTTAATGTCTTTTAAGGTTCTCTCTCCATAAAAAAACTTTAATTTATTTTATTGTTAAGTATTTTTCTTTATGTTTTTTGTCTTAATTAAAATGTATGGTTGTTGTTAATTAGATAAAGCTAGATATAAATTGAGGTGATGTATAGCAGAAATGAAATATGCAAAATCAATTAATATTAGCTAAAGAAAGGTAATTAGCGGCGTTTGTATCCAAAAACGCCGCTATAGGTCTGACTTTTTACGGCGTTTGAGTTCACAAACGCCGTTATAGGTCTAACCTTTTGCGGCGTTTGTGTCCAAAAACACCGCTATAGGTCTGACCTTTTGCGGCGTTTGTTCTAAAAACGCCAGTATATGCCTTCTCTTTTGCGGCGTTTTTATCAACGCCGCTATAGATCTGACCTTTTGCGGCGTTTTTTCTAGAAACGCCGCTATATATCATAACTTTTTGCGGCGTTTATTCCAAAAACGCCGATATAGATATCGACCTTTTGCGGCATTTGTTCAAAAAACGCCGTAATAGATATTGACCTATTGCGGCGTTTTTTATTCTCAAACGCCGCTAACTTTAGCGGCGCTGGTATTGCCTGCGCTTCTTGCGGCGTTTTTCCTATCACGGCAAATACTTTTAGCGGCGCTTAAAAACGCCGCTATAAGACTAAAAAAACGCCGCTAAAACTCTATTTTGCTGTAGTGATCATATGTTCAACAGATCGAATCTCCATCATTAGTTCAGATTGGAACAGAAACCGAAGTAAGTCGTGTACGATATTATGCATTTTCCATGTATGGATACCACCATTCCTGCAAAAATCTTGTAAAAATGAATGAGCTACTAAGCATTTAAAGTACGCTTCACCTTTTAGCTCCATTTCTGAATTATCGGATGAGTTTAGATAACCGTGTGCCATCCACTGTTGGACTAAAAGAGTTCTCGACATTTCAAAGTTTTTGGGAAAGATAACACAATACAGTAAGCATTGCCTTATTGACCAAGGTAGATCACAATAAGATAGCCATAGTATTTTAAAAAAATACTTGGGTATCATAGGAGATTCCCATATATAGTAATTACAATCCTACTCTCTGGCATGCCATGTTGAAAAACAGATTTAAGTACTCCCCAGTCATCATAATCATATCTCCCCACGCCATCTAAAACAAGAAGGGTTTTCTGGTCGACAATCTTTCGATAAATTCTATCTAAAATACCTTGCAATGGAAATAATGTTAGAATGCACAAGAAGTCATGTTTCAAGCCCTCAAGAGATTGAATGATTGCTCTACCAATTTTGCCTAAGTTGAAATCGTCTATTATGTTGTCGAAGCTTGCCACGACCTGCTCATCTTCACAAATGCATTGAGCAAGAGATGATTTCCCCATTCCGTCCATGCCAACAATAGAGATGGTTTTGATTTTGTCGCTCCTCTCTTTACTACCTTCGCCCAAAATTACATCCATTATATCTTTCTTTACCTGGTCTATACCAAGTAACTTCGACACTTCCAGGTCCAGCAAAATAGATTCTGGTCCAGGAGAAAGCTTAGATCTCAAATTCATCAACTCTACTTCCAACTTAGAAATGGATGATTCAAAAGGATCATTATCCAAATCTATAATGTCCGGATCAGAAGGATCAGTTTTTTCTTTACTAACCTTAGTTTCTTCTACCAGTAATCTACTTCACATCAATTGATTGTTAAAGTCGCTAAACATGTCTTCTATATCGTATAATAGATCATCAAGTACATACCCGTCAATCTCAAGTCTCGGCAGCTGAACGGACAATGGCCAATCCTTTAATGCATTCATCTTGGACCGAATAGCTTCCAGACGAAGTACAAGCGAGTCCATCTCACCCTGAAACTCTGTCACATCTACAAAGTCGCGTACACTTTCGTCAGCTTTGATTGCACGTACCAGCTCCAGGATTGCAGAAACAAGTTCTTCGGCCATCCTAAGAGAAACAAACAGCGAGAGAAGCGATTAGTTAAGCAAGGAAATCAATTTTGAGAAAAGGGTCCCAAGAGTTGAGGATTCAGACTCAGAAGAACTTACTGCAAATTAAGTAGGGTTGCTTGTGATCTTGAGTATTCAACTAAAGTTTCTTTTCTTCCCTGATTTTAGAGTTAACTGACAATTTCGGTTTCTAAACTGTCGCACACTTGTAACCCGGGAAAAAAAAACCATCCCGTATATCTATCTATATCTATAATTCTATTTTATATAATAATAATAAGAGTAAATTGCGGATGGTTTCCTCAACGTCGATTGCAGATATATGAAAAGCGAGCATGGTGAGAAGGTACCTTGGGACAGATTGATTTGGCATTCGATCATATCTCGAAGAACTCCGTTATCTCTTGGATGGCAGTGTTAGATAGGCCCCCACTAAGAATCAATTGATGTCGCTTAACATAAATATTGATGGTATATGTGTCCTGTGTTTAAATGAGATTGAATCTAGGGACCATATGCTCTTTGATTGTTGCTAGTCTAAGCGGTTTTAAAGAGTATCTTATCGGCTTTTAATGTGACCAGACAGATCATGGAGACAGAAAAAAGGTTGATTTTTTGGCAATAAAATTTATATTCATCAAAAAAAGGTTGAACAAAAAAGGTTTATTCAATAGTAGGAGACAGAATCAAATGAAGTTTTTGTGGTACTGATACATGAATTAGCTTGATCACTTTGAGTGCACTTATACAAGATTTGAATTCAAAGATTAGAACTTGAACCTTAAACCCTAAACCCTGAACCCTAAACTCTAAACCCACAATATTATCGAGACTAAATCTTAACTGTCTCCTTAGAGAGAAAATAAAGTGCGAAACTTCGCATCGTAAGTCACAAGTTGGATAAAGCTTCCCCATGATGTATTGGCATGCGATTTCCAAGCACCTTTGCTCATTACTCGCCATCAGATGTCGTCATGAATGAGAAAAATACGGTGACGTACATACACTGCAGTGTAGAACAAGGTTGTGTTATCATCGCCTCGATTGCCACCAATCTGGAACAAGGTTGTCTTCACTCATTGCCTAATTGGAGCTCGATTTACTTGATCAGATAATTGGGTGGCCGAGTCTACTTGATTCAATGCTGATAGAATAGTATCCATTTGGCTTATACCAGGGGAAGGATTTTCTTTTTCATCTGTTGCTGGCACAGGAGTATCCATTAGTGAAGATCTGTTGCTGTTAATCCATTTGATTCATTTTCTTTCATATTCGATCGTATATAGTCCAAAACAATCAATGACGACTCCATTTTCAGAACACAAACATTTTCAGAAAAATTAACTTTTATACCTAAAAACGAATTCGACATTGTTATCAGCACTTCCGTATTCCGAATGGAGATCCATGATCTCGTTATGTAATTTTTGGAGTTTTCTATTTGATGCCTTGCAGGAAGAACATTTTCTCTTCAAACATGGAAAGCTTAACATTTGCCACTTTTGGCATACCAGAATTGATCCCATTACACCATCGAAAAACCAGTCCCTGAACTAATAACGTCATTAAACAAATGCGCAAATGCGACGGAATGAACGATAATAATTTAAATTTAAAAAGAGAATTACTAACATTATTTACAAAACCTGGCTGATAAACCACTCAAAATGATTAACAGCAAGATTAATCAACCTCCATACTAGAAATGGCTTCATCTAGAATCTTCTGAAGCTCCTTCACTCTTTGCTGTATTAATGCAATGTAGTCCTGCAACCATGGAAGCCATTTTTCGTATCAGCTTTTCGCCCAGTTTTAGCTCATTATAACTTTAATATGAGTATGTCTCGAAACAAATCATACAGAAAATGCTTCAGAACACCAAAAAATTAATCTTTCTACTATTATCATGTGATTTCCTCGGAAGTCTAAAGCATGACAACCTACATCCAAGGAAATGACCTTCATATCAAATATTGGAAGACTAATTTTAGATTCTTTTACCTCGTTTGTGCCTTCATGAGTGACTTGTAGTTTGTCCCATATCTCCTTGGCAGTTGTGCAAGATGAAACTCTCTCGTATTCATCTGGTCCAAGAGCACAAAAGATAATATGGATAGCTTTGGAGTTGAGCTGGAACATTCTTATATCTCCTTCACTCCACAACCTCGGGTGAGTGGAGGGTTTGATGTATCCATCTTCTATGATATTCCATGCTCCCATGTCACTTGCTTGAATGAAATACATCATCCTATTCTTCCAATAAGTATAATTATCTCCATTGGAGAAAGGAGGTTGGTAATGAATCAAGACCGAAGCCGGAGTTTGAAATGCCAGCCATTGATGACTTTGAAAATCGATGTAACTCTTCCCGAATCGACTCAAGAGGTGATTAAACCTTCAAATGAGTGAGGCTCTGATACCAATTGTTGAGTTAATCGATTGATGGAATAGGCTAAGAGGGGGTGAATTGGCAATTAAAATTTTGGTGGAAGCTTTTGAAGAAGATTAAAAAGATTTGCACAACGATTTAGAGTGGTTCGACTATCTCAACCAAAGTCTAAGTCCACTAAGTTAGCTATCCACACTAAGGATTTTCCAACAAATTCACTAATTTGTTCTTTCTTTTGAGGACAAAGAGTAACCTTACAATTCCCTCAAGAATTATACCCCAATTCTTGAGCACACTCTTCTTCAAAGAGAAATATACAAATTTGCAAACTTACAAGGAAAACCTCACAAGGCAATATGTTTACATAATTCTAGAACAAGTTAAGAACACTCAAAGATAATTACAATTGAGCACAAATTGTGTTCTTGAAAGCAAAATGAATATTGAAGGAAATTTGGCTTGATTTGCAGAAACTTGATGTTTGATGCTTTCTCTCTTGTTTCTCTATGATTTCTTCTTTCTTGTTGTTGATCAATGGCTTCAGAACTTGTTTAAATACTCCTTCAAATGATTTTGAACGTTGGGGATGCTTAGTGGAGTCAATAGAGCCATTTAAGTGTGAAAACAATTAATTAAAGCAGTTGGGAGCGTCAGTGCATCGATGCATACCCATGGTGCATCGGTGTAAAATTCAAATATTTTGACCGTTGGACCCTTAGTGCATCGGTGCACTAAGAGTGCACGGATGCATCAAGTGCATTCGATGTTTCAAAACAGCCAGAGTGTATCGATGCATGGCTGGTGCATCGATGCATCAAATGCATTGAGTGCATTGATGCATGGTATGTGCATCGATGCATAAAATGCATTCGATGTTCGATTTATTCCATGGTGCATCGATGCATGGATTGGTGCATCGGTGCATCACTTTGAGAAATTGATTTTAGGCTTGATTTTGGTTTCAAAATACTTTGTGAAAATTGTTTCAAAAATAGTTTAAGTATAAAACACAATTTTACACATTTAATAAGGTTTGAAATTGGTCTTGAAAGACTTGGAGTAATATTTTGATATTCGATTAATTAAATCGAATATACTTATAAAATCATTTGTAAAATCTTAAAATTCATTTAACTTAATTTTTTATATCGAAACATCAAAATGTTTTCAACAAGCATTAAACCCAATTGTTTCTCTCTTCATGATTTGCATTATACCCACACCCAACCTTATGGCAAAAACTTCCTTCCTCCCTCCTGTTATGTTTCTGCTTCTATTTGCAACCTTTATTGCTACTTTCTCTGTCAATATCACCACCGATCAATCTTCCCTTTTAGCCTTAAAATCCCATATAACTCACGTGTCGAGACAGTATTTCGCTCGGCGAAAACAAGTGTCGTTATTTTCTAAATCTTGACTCGAAAAAGTACGTATTTTTCTTATGGTATAAGATAAAACACAAATTTGAGGAGTCGCCACCAATCATTTATCGAGGTGTGATTGGTCACCAAAAATACTACATTATTTTAATAAAATTTATAAAAATATTATTAAAATAACACAAAAAGGTCTGCTTACCAGAAATGAGTTCGGGAATCGATTACGTGTGGGGATGGATTAACACCCCACAACACCCAAAATTGGTACCTTTATTTATTAATTAATGTCTTTGCAGTAAAATTTATAAATTTGAATTTAATTTAATTTTTACCCTAAATATATATATATATATATATATATATATATGCATGATTAAGTGACTAAAAAAACAAAAATGGCGTACGTTTGCGTTTCTCTTTGCGCGCACGTTAGTGGGGCTAATGGAACCTGAGATTCCTTCCGTCGTCGATGATTTCTTCTTAGTCAATCGATTCGTTTCTACTGGTTTCTTTATTTCCCATCTTATTGTCTTGCGAGATGGATTGGAGAAAGCTTTTTAAATGTCAAGAAAGCCAAAAGCTATCATTTCCCCCCCCCCCCAAATCGACCGATAGCAATCCGATTGTCTGTCCTCCGCCAGAGGCCTTTGAAGCTGGAACAACAGTCTAGAAATCATCTTTGGTGGGTCAATTTCTCAGGGTGCTACCAAATTTCATTGCTTTGCAAAGAATCATTGAAACCCTATGGAACCACCCAGCGAAAGGAGAAGGAGTTCAGATCAGTTACGCCGAAAACAATCTTTACATATTTTCCTTTTCTAATGATTCTGCTAGAGACTGGGTCCTTGAAAACGAACCTTGGCATATGTTTAACAAGCCTTTAATTTTAAGAATCTGGGAGCCTAACATGCAAAAGCTTGATTTTGATTTTGCTCATCTGCCTATATGGATCCATCTTTACAATGTGCCTCTAGAATTATATACTCAATATGGCTTAAGTTATATTGCTAGTGCACTAGGGAAACCAATCTCCATGGACTCTTTCACTGCTTCTAAAACTATATTGCACTTTGCTAAAGTTTGTGTTGAGGTTGATGTTAAGAAGAAAATTCCTGACTCTGTAGAAGTAATTCTTGCAAACGATCTTAAAACTCTTATTTATGTTGAAGTTCCTTGGTTCCCGAACAGTTGCAAAAAATGTGCCAAATTTGGACATTCTGATAAGAATTGCCCATCTCTTCATTCAACTGCTCCAATGAAAATTTGGAGAAAAAGGCTGAAGTTAACATAAGTATTGAAACAAAATCTCTTGCAAACTCTGATGGATTATAGCAAGATCACCCTGAACCTTCTGATTCTCACTCAGAAGTTGTTACGGTTAGTCACCCTCCAATTCACTCTGATCACACTCCCAAGGACAACTTAACATCCTCCTCTATCATGCTCCATGCTAAAGAGAATTCTCCAATCAATAAATCTTCCTCTCCTCTATCTGATGAATCTGCTCCAATGAAGACTCTTTCACAGCCTCTTCTCTCCCCCACCAAAGATAAAAAATCTTCACCTTCATTTCTTAAAAGAGGTAGAGAAAGACCCCTAAAGGTCAAAACTAAAGTCCCTCTTAAAGGATCTGCTAACAGGATTGAAATCCTGAGTTCAATTGATGAAAAATCCCCTAATGCTGAAATCCAACCAGAGAAATCAAGGCTTGCTGTTTCAAGAGTTGTTAATCTCCTTAAAGAGTTAAAGACTACAAAGAAAGAGCATCTAGTTAAATCTAAGATTCCTGTAGATAAAATAGAAACTTCAAAGTCCTCTTCACAAAGTTGATATCCTTTGTTTGATGGAAACTCGTATCAAAGCTGAAAAATCTGACAACATCCTGCATTATACTTTTGGGAGCTGGAAGGTGATTACAAATTATAACTTTGCCTCTAATGGTAGACTTTGGCTGCTTTGGAAAAAAGGAATTGACATTTCTTTCATCAACTCTTCTGATCAAAGTATCACTGTCAAGTGCCAATTCAATAATATTCCTTTCATCATCACTGCCATTTATGGCAGAAACAATGGCACTATCAGAAGGTAATTATGGCATCACCTTAGAAGCCTTGATTCTCAACTCAATTATACTCCTTGGATTCTAGGAGGGGATTTCAACACCTATCTTCATTACTTTGAAAGTTCTGATTCAGATCTTCTTAGTCCTTATCAATCTTCTAATATGAGGGATTTTCAAGATTTGACTCAAGACCTTCTTCTTTAAGATAATAACTACTTTGGCCCTTCCTTCACTTGGAGTAATAAACAAAAGGATACCTTATTAGCAAGGAAGCTTGATAGAGTTTTAATTTACTCTTCCTAGGCCACTGCCTTCCAAAGATCTTTTGTAGAATTCTGTGCCCCTGGTCTTTCTGACCACTGTATGGCACTGGTTTGGTTAAACAAAGAAATCCTAACTAACAAACCCAAAACTTTCAAGTTATTTAATTTTTGGTCAAATTATCCTACCTTTCTTGATATTGTCACTCATTCCTGGCAGTAACCTGTAAAAGGCAACCCTATGCAAAATCTGTTCCTCAAGCTAAAACGACTTAAGCCTTGTTTAAAATATTTTAATAAGGATTCCTACAACAACTTATCTGATAGGGTTAAACTCAAGAGAGCTAAGCTGGAATACATACAGATTCAAACTCTCAAAGGGGCTAGCACTATTGAAGAAGAGCTTAATATTCAAAATGATCTCACTAATCTTTAAGAGGCTGAAAATCAGTTCCTTAAGCAGAAAGCCAAAATTAATTGGATCAAAGAGGGAGACAAATGCTCCAAGTTCTTCCACTCTGTCATTGCTTCCAATAACAAAAGAGATACCATTAGAGTCCTTATTGATTATCAAGGCAAAAGGTTGGAATCCTTTGATCAAATGGCTACTGAAGTTCTTGAGTTCTTTAAAATGCAGCTTGGTTCTGCAGATCCTAATGTTAAACACACTGATATTCAGTTTTTGAAAAATCTGCTCCACTACGATATGCCTACAGAACTTTCCACTGATCTTATTAGAACTGTTTCTAATGAAGAAATCAAAGAAGCTCTTTTTAGTCAAGGAAATGACAAAACCCCAGGACCAGATGGGTTCACACCCCTCTTTTTCAAAAAAACTTGGCCTGTGGTAGGAGATGATGTAATCAATGCTATCAGATTTTTCTTTCAAGAAGCTTTTATTCTGCCTGCCTTCAATGCCACAGTAATAGTATTGATCCTAAAGTCCAGAACCCCAACATTGTTAAGGATTACAAGCTAATCTCTTGTTGCTCTGTGTTGTACAAAATCATCACCAAAATCCTTGTTAAAAGACTAACCATGCTGCTGCCAGAAATTATTACTCCTAATCAGTCTGCCTTTGTTAAAGGAAGATATATCATTGACAATACTCTCCTAGCTCAAGAACTTGTTAAAGGTTATGGTAGGAAGCTTATTTCCCCAAGGTGTGCCCTTAAAATTAACCTTCAAAAAGCTTTTGATTCTCTTAGTTGGGAATTCATTTCTTACATCCTCAAAGCTATAGTGCTGCCAAACATCTTCATAAGCTGGATTGAATGTTGTTTTACTGAAGCTAGGTACTCTATATCTCTCAATGGTAGTTTGGTTGGTTACTTCAAAGGCCAAAGGGGATTAAGACAGGGTGATCCTTTATCCCCTACCCTTTTTATGCTTGCCATGAACATACTCTCTAAAACCCTTAACCTTGCTACTGCTGCCAAAGGGATTTTTGGGTATCATCCTAAATGAAAAAAGATATGCCTAACATATCTCTCATTTGCTGAAGATCTTTTAATTTTCTGTATGGGAAACCCTGACTCTATTGCTGGTATTATCTCAATCTTAGATCACTTCTACCTCATGTCAGGGCTAAAGCTTAATGTAAGCAAGACTGAACTCTTTGCAACAGGAATTGCTTCTCGAAGTCTTCAAATAATCAAAACTATTTCTGAATTCAAACAGGGTCTCCTTCCTGTTAGATACTTGGGGGTTCCTTTAATCACAAAAAAATTAACAGAGTAAGACTGCCAGCCTCTTATTGATCGAATTAAACTCAGACTCCATCACTGGTCCAGTAATCTCCTAAGCTATGCAGACAGGCTTGAGATAGTTAAAACATTATCGTACATCATGACTAACTTTTGGTGCAGGTAGTTTAATCTTCCCCAAGCTATTATCAATCGTATTAACCAGCTTTGTTCTCAGTTAATATGGAAAGGAAATGATCAAGTTGCTTCTGGAGATAGGGTCAGTTGGGTCAACCTTTGCTGCCCCAAATCAGAATGAGGGTTAGGTCTTAAAAACATTAAATCCTGGAACACAACTTGTATGATCCAGCTTATCCGTAACATTCTCGTTGCTGAAGGGTCTCTTTGGGTCGCATGGCTTTACTCCTATGTTATTAAAAATGAAGACTTTATAAACATGGTAGTAAAACCTTCACACAGCTGGAGTATCAAGAGATTAGGGAAACTTCGTACTACTACTTTTCCTATTCTTAGTGCAGGAGCTAAAACTACTAAAGATATTTGGGAAGAAGTTAGGGACAAAAGAACTAAGGTTCATTGGCATAAAATCATATGGTTTCCTTCCCATATTCCAAAAATCAGTATGATTGCTTGGATGACCATCCTAGACATACTTCCAACTCGGGAAAGACTGTCTCGAATGGGAATTGTTCTTGATCAAAGCTGCGTGTTATGTAATGAGACCACTGAAATAAGGGATCACCTTTTTGTTGACTGCAGCTATGCAAAAACCCTATGGAGTCTCATTCTCAATCTTACTCACCTAAGAGTAACTCACATGACTTGGGGAGAAATGATTAATTGGGCGTCAGACAATTGGAAAGGTAAATCACTCCTTTCAATTATACTGAAACTTGCTTGGACCTCATCCATACATCTGTTATGGGAGGAGAGGAATAGAAGAATTTTTCGTCGTGAATCAAAAGATGCTGAACAAATTCTGTCTACCATCAAAGTGTTTGTCTGAATCCAACTTAGAGGCAAAAATATAAATAGAATAGATAATGTTAATTGTAATTTATGCTATAATTGGGGTATAGTTTAACCATTTTTTGTTGTAAGTATTGGTTTTACTCCCTGTTGGGATTGTTGTTGCTACTTTTCTATTTGGATAATAAAATTTACTTATAAAAAAATTATAGATTCGAATTAAAATGCATAAAATATGATTTCAGTGACTAATATAGAAATTTATAAAATCTCAAGGATTGCGGACATAGTTTACATGTGACTTAAATTACGCAAATACCCCTTCCCCAAAACAACATCGTTTGGAGAGGGTTATTTTTATACCCAAATATGGCCCTAAAGGCCAACATTTCTCTCATTTCTCATTTTTGTTTCTCTCTCTAAGAGAGAGAAACAAAATTTCTCTCTCTAAAAATCTCTCATCGGAGAGTCCGATCACTGACCGACAGCCTCCTGCCGTCATTAACTACCACTGCCGGCCACCACCCACAGTGGCTGGAATTTAAAAACTTACCCCAAAATGACCCTCTTTTCCACCTAAATTCAAATCTAACCTTTTTTAGTCCTAAAAAACCCTCAAAATTAATAGATCTAAACAATAACTGAAAGTTTTACCTCGGTTTACACAAATATTTCTGACGGCGTTTGGTCTCTCCGAGGGTAAGCTGCTCCTCCTATTCTTTCTCGTTGTTTCTCAGTTGGTGTGTTGGTTGTATGTTTCTTCCTTGTTGGTTCGATCTCCCCGTTGGTGTCCTCCTTCTTGCTCTATATCCTTTTTCTTTGCAGGATTTCAAGGCTTTTTATAGGTCTCGATGAGTCACTATTCTACTGAACCCTTCGATGAGTCACCGGATCTACGATGGTGACTCACCGTAGTTTGGATGAGTTGTGTGGTCCTTTTTGCGTCTTCTGGAGCCTTCGGTGGCGTGGCAGAATTTAGTTGGGGAACATAGCGGCGGAGCAGTTAGATGTAGGTGGCGGAGCAGTTGGAGGCATCACCAAAGTCTCCCTAGGGTTGGTGAACCCTGGGATTTCTGCTGGATTCATTATGGACCGTTGGATCTCTCCAGATCCAACGGCTGAGCTTCTTGGCTACTGAAGAATCAAGTTTTTTGGACCGGATCTGGTCTTGTTGGGCCTTCAGGTTATTTGGGCCTGCTGGGTTATTTGGGCCTAGATCATTTTTGGGTCTGACTCGGATTAAACTTGTAAACGGGCGGGTCCTGATTTGTAAATATCTACTATAGTAAAATTTAGTATTTATTAATAATATTTATAATAATAATACAATATAAATAATAGTATAAATAATAACTGGATGAAAATGACTGTCGACATCACGATCCGCATAATTTCTTAGCAACCAACTGGTCCACTTCTGCCTCTGTTTGCGATTAGATTGGTGTCACCTGTGGATTCAGACACCACAGAGTCACTGCTCTGAACTTGTCAAGTATGGATCTCACAGGCACCATCCCATCTCAATTGGGAAATTTATCTTTCCTTGCCTCCCTCAACATTAGTCATAATAGTTTCCATGGCTCTTTACCGACTACGCTAACTAATTTGCATCGGTTGAAATATTTGAACTTTGGTAACAACAGCTTCAGTGGAGTAATCCCATCATGGTTTGGTTCCTTCACTAAACTTCAAGGTTTGTTTTTGTACATGAACAACTTCACTGGTGTTATCCCGTCCACTCTTGGCAATTTGTCAAAACATGAAAAGTTGAGCTTGTACAGCAACTGTCTCCAAGGTCCCATACTTTTCTCAATCATGTCTTTATTTTCACTAGTAAAAAGTTTATTTTATAACTAATGTTGTCATATTTAATATATTCTCATTGCAGATCATCTATCATCGGGAATGTTTGACAACCTTTCTAAATTACAAGAACTCGATTTAAGTGAAAATCAAATTTCTGGCAGGATTCCAAAGAGTTTATTTAAATGCAAAGAGTTGACGTTTTTATCATTGTATTCCAACTCTTTGGAGGGAAGTATACCTTCAGAAATTGGGAATTTGAATATGCTCGACACTATGTATCTTCATCAGAACAACCTCAAAGGTAAATAATTTCTTATTGCATGCCATCTACTCTCACTTGAACAATTCCAATTTTTTTCTTCAATTTCTAATTTTTATACAATTGAACCATCAACCAATTATTTAATATCAAATTAGGGCAGACTAAATGAATAAGTTATAACCTACATATTGAAATAAGTTGTATCGTTAGTCTTCTCTGAATCAAATACCTTAGAACTATTTTTATATTTATGTAGTTTTTTTAAAAATTTTAATCTCTTAATATAGTAATACTTTTGGCTACGAAAAAATAAATTAGTTTCACATTTCATACTTCTAACTACTTGAATATGATACTTAAAAAATTGTATATAATATTGTCATGTTTACTGCTTGATTTATTTTTTTGGATGCTTCAGTTTTTTTTAACCTGCTACTTCCAACTATTTGGAGCTTTCATAAGTATTAAAACAATTTAACAAAAAAATTATTTTTCTTAAAAAGGAAAAGAAATGCAAAACATATACCTATAGCGCTCAACAAAAATATAAGGATCTTCTATAAAGATATTAATAGTTTTTGACAGATTTAATTATATATTTTAGATAAAATTTCATCAGTGAATAAAAAATTGAATTCTCTCACGTACATAAATTTTTCTAATAACGATTTCTTGGGTAAAGATATGACTGGATTGAATATTTTCAACTATTTGCAGCTTTCTTAAGCAGTGAAAAAAATTGAATAAAATTTTCAAGTTTAAGAAAATAAAAAGGGAAAGGAATGGAGAACAAATGCCTCTAGTGCTCAACATAGAAATTAGGGGTTTGTTAGAAAATTTATTAATAAATTTTGATCGGTTTACTCATATGTTTGACGTGAAATTCCATTAGTTATTACAAACTTTACTTATCTTGAGAATATTAATCTTTCTTTTAAAAACTTTAAAAATATAATATCATATTTTTAAAATTTTCTATCTCACCGCAGGTCATCTAGAGTTGGGAATATTTGAATATATTTTCAATAGTTTAAAGCTGTTTTATAACTAAAAATCTCACCGCAGGTCATCTAGAGTCGAGAATATTTGATAACCTTTCTAAATTGCAAGAATTAAGCTTGGAAGGGAACCAAATATCTAGTAGCATTCCCAGTAGTTTATACAAGAGCAAAGAGTTGAGGTATTTATCATTGTGGAACAACTCTGTGGAAGGAAGTATACCTATAGAAATCGGAAATTTGACTATGCTCCAATATTTGTATATTGGTTACAACAATTTCAAAGGTAAAAGATTCCTCATTTGCATTCCGTTCTCTTTTATTTTCATTACATAAAAGTTATCTTATAATTAACAATCTCACTGCAGGCCATCTTGAGTCAGGAATATTTGATAACATGTCTAAATTGCAAGTATTAAGGTTGGATGGGAACCAGATTTCTGGTATCATTCCCAGCAGCTTATACAAGTGCAAGGAGTTGAGGTATATATCATTGTGGAACAACAGTATGGAAGGAAATATACCTATAGAAATCGGAAATTTGACTATGCTCCAATTTTTGTATATTGCTCACAACAACTTCAGAGGTAAAAAATTCCTCATTTGTATTTCGTTCTCCTTTATTTAATTAGTTGTGTTACGTCTAACTTTAGGAAACCAATTAGAGATGTTGAACTTTGCCTTAAATTGATGTCAAACTTAATGGAAAAAATGACAACCTCAGTG